TCTGTGACCAGGCCCCTCTTATATTACACTTACTTTCCATTTTGAATTTTTATTCAGACCAAAAATAGAAAATTTACTGTTATTTAGACTACTGCAGTATTGTAATAATTGTATAAATAAAGTCAACCCATTCATGACTGTGTATTAGACCAGCCAGTTGGACATGTATTGGACGGTGATGTCATTTGTTTACTCTTGCTACTTTGAGCTCAATTTTAAGGTACTTTCCAGTGTAAAACAAATCAAAATTATATCTATTTCTGTAATATATCTTCGATTCTATCAAATGAGACCAAAAAATGAGAATACAATCATACAAACCATATGAAAGTACACTGCAAAGTCAATGTTTTACACCAAAGGCACAGTCGCCTTTTATTTGTCACGCATTGTGTGCTGCAGGATTTTTTATATAGTGCACACTTACCACACAGACTTATTCTGTCATATGTAGGCCCAAATTCAGTCATGCCTCCAGGCCCCTCTTATATTATGCTTGCTTTCCATTTTGAATTTTTATTCAGACAAAAAATAGAAGATTTACTGTTATGCACACTATTGCATTATTGTAATAATTTTATAAATAATGTCAACCCATTTGTGACTGCATATTAGACTGACCAGTTGGACACGTATTGGATGGTGATGTCATTTGTTTACTCTTGAACATGGGCAAAAATCGAACATTTCCGCTAATTTGAGCTCAATTTTGAAGTACTTTCTGGCATGAAACCAATCAAAATTATATCTGTTTCTGTAATATATTTTCCATTGTATCAAATGAGACCAAAAAAACTAGAATACAACTATACAAGCTATACAAAAATACACCACAAAGTCGCTGTTTTATACCAAAAGCACAGTTGCCTATTTTTCTCATTATACACTGCATGCTGCAGGATTTTTTTATATAGTGCAAACTTACCACACAGACCTATTCTCTTGTATGTAGGCCCAAATTTACCAGTTACAGCTTATCTGAGTGAGTTGAGCTCATGGCAACCAACAGTGGCTTCAAAGCCACCTTATCTTTTATGGACAATGTATGGTGTATGTGCTGTACACAACGAGAAGCACTTCTTTTATTTACTGAAACCATGGCTAGGGCTAAAAGTGAGCAGGTTATAACAATAAATGGAGAAAAAGAAATTGGAATGACTTTTGCAACAAGTCCATACTTATTATTGTACTTACTACATACATAGAACACTGTAAAAATGCAATGCACATAAAAGGCCCAAACATCTGGAATTCATTACCTGTAAATATAAAAGAAATACTGTCTGTTTATCAATTCAAGTCTCTTCTTAAAAATCACTTACTCATCCACAACTAAATAAGTAATGAATAACTGTCTCATAAATGTATAACCTGTGACCCTATCAAACTATGTTTTTTGTAATTACATTACCTAATAGAATACTCCATTCTCTAGAATGAATGCTCAGTAACTCATCAAATGACCATAAGACCTGTTTCTGCACTACAAGTCATTGATTTTATTCAATCTGACTGGATTATATTATAAATTGTGCTACAAATTTGTATAGCTATAAAGCTTTTTATTTGAAATACTCATTTGTACTTCAAGTTGTAATTTGTTTACTGTAATTTTTACCACTGAATATATCATTGCTTAGTTAATCTTAAGTTAATTTTAAGCCTGCCCACAATGCTCTGCATACAAGGGGCTTTTGGCATGTACACTCAACCACTGTATTTCTTTTATACAAGTATGTATCATGTCCAAATAATAATAAATAAATAAAATATAAGTTACCCCACCAAACGGTAGTGGCAGGTTGGTGTTGCTACCCCGGAAATTTGAAATTATACTAGTCAAAATTAGTGCCAGATTACTGATGAAACTGGATTACTAATTGCCAGATTAGTGATGACCAACCTGTACAAAGTAAATGGTATGTTTATCTTGCATAAATGTCAAAAGACTGTTGTTATGATCAAAAGTGAACATACTGACAGGATGAATATCTTGCACAGCAGTCAGATGAGTCCTCATGAATATTCATTGTTCTTAAAAACAAAACAGAAATAATAGAAACAGTGAATTACATATGACAGACCTGAAAAAATACTATACTTAAAATCTATATAATAAATACAGTATGTAAGAACTATTATTATCTTAGTGTCTGGCCTAGCCCCACCAGTGAGGTGTAACTGAAAATTTACTCTGAAAGCTTCTGCCCTTAAAACTTTCTATTACAGAAACTTAAGTATCACAGAAAAAAATATACAAGCTATGTATCCATGCTATGAAACAACTGATGTGAATTTGCCTGCAGAACGTGATATTAAAAAAAGATATATTTAGAAAAAACACCTGAGCCTTCGCCTCTTTGCCTGCAACACAACTTTTGTCATCTCCCACCCAAATCTTGCATCACTCAACAATATTGTTAATGAGCTCTTAAAAATATCAACCTGGATAACTACCAATAAACTCACACTTATATGTCTAGTATTAAGTATTCTGTAAGCATTAGGTTTAGTCTACCCAAAATGCCCCGGCATGCTAGTACCTATCAACACGCTTTATATGCATTCACACATTGTAACATAAAATAAAATTGTTTATTGTTTAAGACTGATGAAACCTTCTACATTATGTTTGGGAGCAGAGCAATTAATGTCCAACTAAACATTATAACTAATACTCTCATTACTAAACATAATGAGGGGAAAATTTTTGAGTCTGCACCTTCACAGCAACTTGAAATTCAACACCCACATCCAGCACTTTACAGCACTACTTACATTATACTACTCACTGATCTACCCCTACCTCACCTATGCTATTTGTGCCTGGGGATCCACAACAGGAAATCACCTTGAGCCAATAATAACTCTACAAAAGGCTGCAATATGAATGATCACACAGTCTACTCCTAGACAACCCTCCCCCTCCCCCACTCTTCAAAGATCTAAATCTACTTACGATACACAACATGAATGGAAAACTCAAGTAAATAAAAGCTGTATTGGGGTATAAAACAAATTCCAACCACACAATAGAGCAAAAAACTAATGTATAGGGCCTGGGAGTGATAATGTCAGAAACTCTCACTTTCAAAGATTACAACAATGTGTCTACTGCATCTGCTAGGGAAAATGATAGGATGGATAATGAGAACCTTCCAAACTAGAGATGCCAAGCCCATGGGGTTTCTCATCAAATTGCTTCTCTCTAGGCTCGAATATTGATATACATTAATGGCCCCTTTCAAATCGGGTGAAACTGTAGACTTTGAGAATATACAGAGAACTTTCACAGCATGTATAAGTATGATAAGCACCTAAATTACTGGGAATGGTTGAAGTTCCTTGATTTGTGCTCCCTGGAATGTAGGCGAGAAAGATACATGATAATATACACTTAGAAAATCCTACAGGGACTAGTCCCAAATCTCCACACAAAAATCACTCCTTGCGAAAGCAAAACACTTGGCAGGAGATGCAACATCCCCCCAGTGAAAAGAGGGTGTCATGAGTATGCTAAGAGACAACACAATAAGTGTCAGGGGGCCTAAGACTATTCAACTGTTTCCCAGCATACATAAGGGGGATTACCTACAGACCCCTGGCTGTTTTCAGGGAGCTAAACAGGCACCTAGAGTCAGTACTTGACCAGCCAGGCCGTGGTTTGTACATCGGTTTACGTGCAGCCAGCACTGATCAGGCCTTGATCCACCACGAGGTCTGGTCATGGACATGGCCATGGATGTGTTGAACCCTGAAACCCCCCTCCAATAAATTCTAATATTAATTCTGATCTGAAGCACTTCCTTGATAGTTGCAACACAACCCATTGACATAATACTAGACACAAAAATCTCTGTGACATACTCCATGTCCAGCTAAATCTTTGTAAAAACTCAATATGCATACAAGGACCCAAAATCTGGAACTCTCTGACAGATATCTGCAGAGCCACTCTCTCTTGCCTGCATCTTCAGAACTATCATTAAAAAAACACCTTCCTTCACTAATATATACCAACAACAACTAAATGTGATGAAACTATATTTTCATATTCTCATTGCCATAAGCATATGAAAACCAATATATTCTTATTCTCATTACCTGTAATCCTTACAACCATTAAATATTCTGAATGTGTTCAAAATATGCTCATATCCTAAAATCCTTAAAATAATTAAACTTGATGAAAGTGTTCATTGTAATTCCTAAATTTATTGTTACAACCACTTTGAGACCATATATACAGGCAGTTACTTATTGTCTCATTAGTCTTAAGACAGGCTCAAGTTTGCCCGAAATGCTCTGCATACAAAGAGGCTAACTGCATGCACACCTAAATGTCACCCACCTCTATATACATTGTATCATGCTGAAAGAATCTTTAATCTTTAAAGACCAAACTCTCTCCACAAGTGCATGAGATCAATAAAACAGACAATGACTCGGTTGGCAACTTTCTCACCTCACGCTAAGTGTCCATCGTTCAACCCCTAGCATGGGTGGATATGTTGGATATGTTTCCTTACACCTGCTGTCCCTGTTCATCTAGCAGTAAGTAGGTACCTGGATGTTAATCGACTGGTGTGGGTCACATCCTGGGTGACCAAGAGTGAAGGACCCCAATGGAAACAAGACAGACAGTTCTCAATGACACACTGACTTTCTTGGGTTATCCTGAGTAGCTAACCCTCTGGGTTAAAAATCTGAACAAATCTTACAATAACTTACACTGCTGCCTACAGCCTGACTGATAAAAATATGAACGACACTGAAAACCTTAGTATATTTTTCAAAGCATATGTGGACTCTTGATAATGTAGTGTAAACCTACTAAGTAAAGCTAGAAAACAGTAAGTTTATTACATTTTAAAACCATGCCAGTTAAAATGCAGCTAAAGCAAATCAACACATTAGTGAACTTCCATTTAAGAATTTAAGTGATTTACTTCATTTTATCTAGCATGTCAAATGGTTGTGAGCATTATATATTGTATACTGCTGCAATGCTGTATGACCCTATTGGGTTTAGCACTTCTTTTTGATTATAATAATAATATATACATTACATACACTGAGTATTTAAATGAACCAAGAAACACAGTAAGTTTCCTTCACAAGCACCTCTCCACTAACTGTAAGACAAAATAAGAAAAACAGTAGGTAGTTTAGATAAATGGAGGTAATTAAGTTAAGCTGAAGTTTATACAGTAAGGCCCTACTTATATGGCAGGTTAGGTTCCAAGCTTTCGCCAGAAGGCAGACATCGCTGGAAAGCAGATATCACCAGAAAGGAGGACACAATTTTTCTCCATTTATAAATGCACATAAATGCCAGACAACAAGTTTACCCTAACTTATACATGTATAAAGTTAGTAATAGAACAAGGCATTAAAAAACACAATAAAAAGTAAAGTATGTACATACACAGGATACATTCATTACTTACCTTAAAATATTTGTAGTCTTATTAAAGTAGGACAAGAGGTGAGTAGTACTAATTTGTAGGAAGTCAGCCCTGGCTCCCTGTCCCAAACTTAATATACAATATTTAAAGCATACATAGTTCCTTTGTATAAAGGCAAAGGGGACAAAAGAGAGTGCAAAAAATTATAGGAGAATAAGTCTGTTGAGTTTTCTATGGGGAAGTGGAGCAGAATTCTTCCTCCGTGAGCCATGCGTGTCGTAAGAGGTGACTAAAATGCCGGGAGCAAGGGGCTAGTAACCCCTTCTCCTGTATACATTACTAAAATTAAAAAGAGAAACTTTTGTTTTTCTTTTTGGGCCAACCTGCTTCGGTGGGATATGACCAGTTTGTTGAAAGAAAAGAAGTCTGTTGAGTATACCTGGTAAAGTGTATGGTAGAGTTATTATTGAAAGAATTAAGAGTAAGACAGAGAGTAGGATAGCAGATGAACAAGGAGGCTTTAGGAAAGGTAGGGGGTGTGTAGACCAAGTATTTCCAGTGAAACATATAGGTGAACAGTATTTATATAAGGCTAAAGAGGTTTTTGTAGCATTTATGGATTCAGAAAAGGCATACGATAGGGTAGATAAGGTGGCAATGTGGCAGATGTTGCAGGTGCATGGTACAGGAGGTAGGTTACTGAAAGCAGTGAAGAGTTTTTACGAGGATAGTGAGGCTCAGGTTAGAGTATGTAGCAGAGAGGGAGATTATTTTCCAGTAAAAGTAGGCCTTAGACAAGGATGTGTCATGTCACCGTGGTTGTTCAATATACAGTGGGCCCTCGTTTTGCGTAATTAATCCATTCCTATTCTTTTTGATTATAATAATAATAATACAGTGGACCCCCCGAGTTTCGGCAGCCTTGACTTTCGCGAAATTCGACCTTCGGCGAGTTTTTTTTGGAAAAAATTGGCCTAGAGTTTCATGAAAAAACTCGTGTTTCGGCGACTGTCTGATACCCGTCCGTCCGTCACCGCGCACACAAAGCCAGTCTCCCATGCCATTCACGCTCAGTGTGCCATTGTTTACCAACACGTGACCATCACCCCACGGGTTCATACAATACGTTTCATAATAATCCATTGTTTTTTGTGCTTGCAACTGCTAAATAAGTCATCATGGACCAAAGGAAAGTTGTGCAAGCCCTTTGGTAAATAAAGTGAGTGACGGGGATGTGGAAGAGTTGGTGGAGGACCACAGGGAAGAGCTAACCACTGACGAACTGCAAGAGCTTCAACTGGAACAGCATCAGACCACAGCCGAGGAACTTGCTTCAGAGGAGGAGGAAGAGGGAGTGGATGAGGTGCCTTCTTCAGTGATTAAGGACATGTGTGGAATGTGGAATGAGTTGCAAAGTTTTGTTGAAAAGTATCACCCTGACCAAGCTGAAACAAGCCGTATCTGCAACATGTACAATGACAGCGTTGTGTCCCACTTCAGGGAAATCTTAAAGAAACGCCAGAAAAAGACCTCTCTGGATAGATATTGTGTGTGCCAGGGGTCCAGTGACTCAAGTTGTTCCCAGTGGCATTAAAAGAAGGGAAGTAACCCCAGATAAGGACTTGCTACCTAAAGTCCTAATGGAAGGAGATTCTCCTTCCAAACAATAGTGTACACCTTCCTCCTATCACCTCCTGTCTTCCATCCGCCCAGAAGTCTTCAGTAAAGCCAAGTGTAATGTTATTATTATTTATTTTAAATGCATGTACTTGATTTCTGATTGTTTTCATTATGTAAATCTTTATCTAATTTGAATTTTTTTTTTTTATCACACTGGCCGATTCCCACCAAGGCAGGGTGGCCCGAAAAAGAAAAACTTTCACCATCATTCACTCCATCACTGTCTTGCCAGAAGGGTGCTTTACACTACAGTTTTTAAACTGCAACATTAACACCCCTCCTTCAGAGTGCAGGCACTGTACTTCCCATCTCCAGGACTCAAGTAATGGATTAATTTTATTTCCATTATTTCTTATGGGGAAAATGGTTTTGAGTTTCGTGAATTTCGACCTTCGGCGGGCTCTCTGGAACGGATTAATCACGAAACTTGGGAGTCCACTGTAATCTATTCCTGGAAGTGTGACTGTTATCAAAATTGATGATATTCGAATCCATTTTCCCCATAAGAAATAATTTAAATACAATTAATCTGTTCCAGACACCCAGAAGTATTAAAACAAAAAAAAAATTTACATGAAATACAATGGGACATGATGAATGAAACATTAACAGCATAACACTTACCGTTATTAGCGATTCTTCTTAGTGTATGGAAGACTGGAGGAGGAGAGATTGAATTAGTTACTGTTTGGAAGGGGAACCCCTTTCCATCAACACCTCAGGTACCAAGTCCTTTTCTGGGGTTACTTCTCTTCTCTGTTTCTTAATGCCACTAGGACCAGCTTGAGAGTCACTGTATACCTGTGGCACTTGTCCAGAGAGCTCTGTTTCTGGCATCTCTTTAAAACTTCCCTAAAATGAGCCAAGACTTTGTCACTGTACAAGTTGCCAACATGGCTTGCAACAGCCTTGTCAGGGTGATGTTTCAACATAAATCTTTCCATCCTACCCAACATTTCAAAAATCTCCTTAATTTCTGAAGAAGGCAACTTCTTCCATCTCTCTTCCTCCTCCTCTGCAGCAATATTCTGAGCTGCAGTCTGTTGCTGTTCCTGCTGGCTCCTGCAGCTCCTCAGTGGTTAGCTCTTCGTTGTGGTCCTCCACCAACTCTTCCACATGCTCCAAACTCACATCCAACCCCATGGAACTCCCCAATGCCACAATAGATTTCACAAATGTCATAGGCTCATCAGGATCTGCCCCAAACCCTTCAAAATCCCTCTTGTGGACACAATCTGGCCACAATTTTCTCAAAGCAGGGTTCAAAGTCCTGGGAGTCACTCCTTCCCAAGCCTTACCTATAAGGCTTATGCAATGGAGGATACTGAAGTGACCTTTCCAAAACTCTCTTAGGGTCAAGTGAGTGTCTGAGGTCACATTAAAGCACCTTTGAAACATTGCTTTGATGATGAGTTTTTTAAAGTTTGAAATGATCTGCTGGTCTATGAGCTGGAGGAGAGGAGTGGTATTAGGGGGCAAGAACTTTACTGTGATGAACCCAACTCCTCTAGAATTAGGTCATCCAAGTTTGGAGGATGAGCAGGTGCATTGTCCATTAGCAGGCGGCACTTGAGATCCAATTTCTTTTCCAGGAGGTAATTCTTCACACTAGGGCCCAACACTTCACTGAACCACTCGACGAAAATTTCCCTCGTGACCCATGCCTTATTATTAGCTGTCCAAAACACACACAATTTACTCTTCATAACATTGTTTTTCCTGAACACTCTGGAATTTTCAGAATGGTACACTAGTAACAGCTTCACTTTGAAATCCCCACTAGCATTAGCACAGAACATGAGCATCAGCCTATCTTTCATAGGCTTGTGTCCTGGCAGTCCCTTTTCCTCCTGAGTAATGTAGGCCTTCTTTGGCATTTTCTTCCAAAAGAGGCCTGTTTCATCACAAATGAACACTTGTTCAGGTTTCAATCCTTCAGCCTCTATGTACTCCTTGAATTCACTTACGAATTTTGTAGCTGCAATTTTGTCCGAACTGGCAGCCTCGCCATGCCTTATCACACTGTGTATGCCACTATGGTTCTTAAATCTCTCAAACCAGCCTTTGCTGGCCTTAAATTCACAAATATCAGTACTTGTTGCAGGCAATTTCTTTACGAGATCGTCATGCAACTGCCTAGCCTTTTCACAAATAAGCGACTGCATAATATTTACTCCCTTTGCAACAACAGCTTCCTTGTTCCTTTTTCTTGGTCACGATGGAAGCTATGGTTCTATGGGGTTTCTTATACATCCTGGCCAGTTTGGCCACACGTACGCCACTTTCATATTGTTCAATGATGTTTTTCTTGAATTCAATCATATTTCTCTCCTTCTTTACCAAAGGCCTGGCACTAGGAGCTTTCTTTGGAGCCATGGTAGCATACTTAGCAGTTGTAAGCACTTAAATGAATGGAATATTGTGAAATATTTCATATGAACAAGTGAGGGGACCGTCACTCACTGGTAAACAATGGCACACTGGCTGGGAAGGGAGGGCTAGGCGGCTCTGAGTCATGTGTACGCGTCTGGGATGAGCGACTATTTGCGAGTCAAACGATGATTCCTGAGCCAATGTTTAGACGAAAATAATGTTAGGATTTTCAAAAATTATGACTATCGAGCCTTACGATTATCGAGGGTCCACTGTATGTATAGATGGGGTTGTAAGAGAAGTGAATATAAGGGTCTTGGCAAGAGGTGTGCAGTTAAAAGATAAAGAATCAAACACAAAGTGGGAGTTGTCACAGTTGCTCTTTGCTGATGACACTGTGCTTTTGGGAGATTCTGATGAGAAGTTGCTGAGATTGGTGGATGAATTTGGTAGGGTATGTAAAAGAAAATTAAAAGTGAATATAGGAAAGAGTAAGGTGATGAAGATAACAAAAAGATTAGGGGATGAGAGATTGGATATCAGATTGGAGAGAGAGAGTATGGAGGAGGTGGATGTATTCAGATATTTAGGAGTGAACATATCAGCAGATGGGTCTATAAAGGATGAGGTGAATCACAAAACTGATGAGGGGAAAAGGGTGAGTGGTGCACTTAGGAGTCTGTAGAGACAAAGAACTTTATCTGTGAAAGCAAAGAGGGAATGTATGAGGGTATAATTATACCAACACTCCTATATGGGTGTGAAACATGGGTGATGAATTTTGCAATGAGGAGAAGGCTTGAGGCAGTGGAGATGTCATGTCTGAGGGCAATGTGTGGTGTGAATATAATGCAGAGAATCCCTAGTTTGGAAATTAGGAGAAGGTGCAGGATTACCAAAACTATTATCCAGAGGGCTGAGGAGGGGTTGTTGAGGTGGTTCGGACATGTAGAAAGAATGGAACAAAAAAGAATGACTTTGAGAGTGTATAAATCTGTAGTGGAGGGAAGGTGGGGTAGGGGTTGGCCTAGGAATGGTTGGAGGGAGGGGGTAAAGGAGGCTTTGTGTGCAAGGGGCTTGGACTTCCAGCAAGCATTCGTGAGCGTATTTGATAGGAGTGAATGGAGACAAATGGTCTTTAATACTTGACGTGCTGTTGTATTGTGAGCAAAGTAACATATTTGAAGGGATTCAGGGAAACCGGCAGGCCAGACTTGAGTCCTGGAGATGAGGAGTACAGTGTCTGCACTCTGAAGGAGGGGTGTTAATGTTGCAGTTTTATAACTGTAGTGTAAAGCACCCCTCTGGCAAGACAGTGATGGAGTGAATGAAGATGAAAGCTTTTCTTTTTAAGGCCACTGCCTTGGTGGGAATTGGCCAATGTGTTAATAAAAACAAAAATATTATTTAAAGCAGCCCAGAGAGAGAAAATAAACATACAGTACACTCGTTACTTACCTTAAAATATGTATAGTCTTAATGTTGGATGAGAGGTGAATAGAATTTGTGTGTAGGAAGTCAGTGTAGGTAGCCGGCTATCTACACTGCGGCCCAGAGCCATATTATTACCATCAACATACCTTGTTCACTGAATTTAATCGTTTCTAACAACTACCTTTAGATGCCATCATAAACGAAGGGAGAAGTAATGAATAATTCACGCCATGTTAAGGGGACTGACTGGGTCACACGCAGATTCATACACGTTTTCTCTGGTGCTGGACCAGAGAAAACGTAATGCTTTTCCCTCCGCCCGTCTATCACACCTCCACAGCATATAAACACAACATGTTTATATGCTATGTAACGTGTTTCTTATATAATTTTGAAGAAAATGTCATAGATTAATGAAAATGTCTCTATTAATGTAAAATAAGACATTTAATGTGCCCAAGAGTGATTATTATTACATACCATTAGTATTACTATGGCATTAAGACTAGAGGGACACTCTTAGTGATTTTAATGTGTACCTGCATGCCAACACATCTTGTAAGCATATTTAGGTACAGGTACACAAGTATTATCATCAGAGCACATATAAAATATGCAATAACTTTAAAACACTTGAAATTTTGGAAAGTTTCCAGACATAATAGAGAGATGTGCTCACGGAGAATGTAAACAAACTGGGTGGTATGTGCTGTATTAGAAAGACAAGGTACTGTACAGCGAATTTTGGTCATAATTTGAAATCACTATATTAGCAGAATGCCGTAAGGTGAAACGCTGTAAAGCAGGCCCCTACTGTATATAACTAATTTCTCCCAACTGCTGTTGGGACAATCTGTATCTTGACAAAGCTCCTGGAGAGCATAACATTGCCACGATAAAATGTCACATTAGTTGCACTTGTCCTTTCACTAACCTTGTGGGTAATTCTGCCAACATTAATACAATCTGTTTCTTGAGCCTTGCTTCATGTTATCTAACTGTTGTTTAAGCTCTAATAACTGTTCATTCTGCTTCTGATAATTTTCATTTAACTGTTGACAAAGAGTAAGTAATTGGTCAAGCTTTTTTGTGTGTGTGTTTAAGTGATCCTGTTGAGGATCAGGCAGTAAAAAGTTTTCACCTTCATCAGCATAATCATTAAACAAATTAAAAAGCTCCTCAATTTTTAATTGAATATAGTGTTTATTATTGTCTCTGTATTTATTAATATTCATTAGAGCTGCATTGTCAAGGTGCTCAGATAATTTACTTGCTATCAATGATTCTTTAGGTTTCAGAACATATTTCATCTTTGTTATTATCCAAGGCTTTGCATCCTTACTGTTGTACTTTCCAACAGCATATTTTCTTTTCAAAAATGGAAAGTATACATCAAGATTTAAAAGAAAATTAACCTGTCCTGCTTTCTTATATAATGTAGCTTCATTTTCATTTGATGATGGAGCTTTCAATAATATAACAATGAAGGCTGCAACTGTGCAGATAAAAACCAGGAAGAGTACATTCACAAGGATAGGATAAGGAGGTTTTCCACTGACGAAAGTGTCATCATACGCGAGGTCTCCCAACATCCAAACTACTGTCTTAACAACTGATTGTGGCATTGTTGAAAAAGCTGACTGATTATGTAAGAGCATATGAAAGATCAACCCAAAAAGTAATATTACCATTATAATGTAAATCAAACCTTTGAAATAATATTTGATGAAATCCCATGTGGTAATTGTGAAAAGTGTAAACTGTGGCAGCTTATTAACAATTTGTAAGAGCTGGGTCCATGTCAAGAGAAGAGCCAAGATGCCACACTGCCAGATAGGTACCTGGGAAGCAAATATATAGGCCACTGTACATACATATGCCAGTCAAAAAAAATTACTGTATAGTTTTTCACAAGTGTATGTTTATTTTTCTTCAACAGAAATATAGAAAACATTCTGTTTATATGACTACTTTCTTTAGGTAGTTTAAGTAAATTTTACATTAATTTTCATTAAAATAAAATGCTTTTTTCAAAGACTATAATTAACAAGCATATTTATCTAAGACTATCACAAGCTAAAATTAATACACATTTCTAAAGTATATGAGCAAATATGTAATTTATCAAGCATAAATAAGTGAAGCAACAAAAGGAATAAAGGTGAAGTAAATAAAAAGAACTCAATTACCATCTTAATACCAAGCAAAAACTCGCAGGAGCAGGTCGGAATGACCACTATTGTTGTTAGCACTAAACTTGGCAGTCGTACAAAAATAAAATTGCTATGGAGATAATGCCACTGCAGCTGTCAAAGTAAGATAATAATATTAAAAATATTGAAGAAATAATATACATAGAAAGAAGTATTACACATAAATGCCTATTCCCTAATAATTTATCTTTTACCTGTGTATAGCATGCTAAAAAGATAATGATAATTGATATCTGAAACTAATAATTTTTTTATGAAAAAACTATGCTCCTGTCTATCCCAACTACTAGACCACAATGACAAGGCACTAGATGCTCTAGAAGACAAACAAAATGCAGATGTAGTGTGCACAGACTTTGCAAAAGCCTTTGACAAATGTGACCATGGTTTAATAGCACACGAAATGTATGATAAAGGAATATCAGGAAAAGTTGGAAGATGGATCTATAATATCCTAACAAACAGAACACAAAGAGTAGTAGTCAACAGAGTAAAGTCTGAGGTGGCTATGGTGAAAAGATCTGTTCCACAAGGCACAGTACTAGCTCCCATCCTGTTCCTCATCCTCATATCTAACAGACAGGAATGTAAGCCACAGCACTGTGTCTTCCTTTGCAGATGACACACAAATCTGCATGAAAGTGTCCTCCATTGAAGACACCGCAAGACTCCAAGCAGACATCAACCAAATATTTAAATGGGCTGCAGAAAACAATATGAAGTTCAATGATGAGAAATTTCAATTACTCTGATATGGAAAACATGAGAAAATTAAAACTATGTAAGATAATAAAACAAATTCCAACCACATAATACAGCAAAAAACTAATGTAAAAGACCTTACTATACCCATTCAATATTAAATCAGCAAATTTGTACCACATTAAGAGTTAACTGTATCTCTGTATTTTTTAAAACTACTTGTAACAATCCATTAGCTAGTAAAATAAATTAGTTTAGTACCATAATATTAAGTTTAACATAATACCACATCCAAAAGTCTAGTTGTAGAGTCACACTCAATCTTATGATTACAAGCATTAATCTTGATATCAACCTTTTATTAAATGACTTACATGCACTGAACAGCAACTGTAATTATTATACAGCAGACCAAGCAAAGACAATACTCAGAGCCAACAATAACATAACTATCTTTAATTACAATGGCAGATCTTTGAGCAAACATTAAGATGACCTCACAGCATTACTCAGTTCCCTGCATACCAGGATATCAATCATCACACTCACCAAAACCTGGCTAAAGCCTGGTACTACAGATATCTCTGCCATTCCTGGTTGCACAGCCATACCCAACTGTAAGACAGACCAGCAAGGGGGTGGAACAGCTATATACTACTCAGATCAACTTGATTGTATCAATAATTCTTGCACAAGGGATGAACATGGAGAATATCTTATAGCTAAATTTAAATCAAAAGACCTGCAAAAACCCCTCAAAGTGATAAACATCTACAGAGTACCACAGTCAAACATTTACCATTTTAGTGAAAAATTAGGAAACATGATAACTGATGCACATGTGAACAAAGACCACTTGCTGCTCACAGGAGATTTCAACATAAATCTCCTACATGAACAGGACCCACAAGTAGCTGAATTCACAAACACTATGAGCAACTGCTTGTTGCTACCAACAATAACAAAACCTACGAGAATCTCCGAGACTGGTATCTTATTAGACCACATCTGGACTAACACCATATCTCCTTTAAAATCAGGCATAATCACAGACAACACCACAGACCACTACCCTACCTTTCTCATAACCAACCTAGGTAAATTGCCCCAAGATACTACTAAAGTTGCCTTCAGACTACATCATGAGACAGCTGTTAATAACTTTATAACCACTATGATTAATGTCGACTGGCATAATGAGCTTGAAACATATACAGATATGGATGAATGTATTAATAATTTAAAAAAAAAAAAACACTACCTCTTTAACAAGCATTTCCCTAAAAAAACTAAACAGATCACAGCTAAGAGACTGAACAGTCCCCAGCTAACATCCAGCATCCTTAACCCCTAAACAGTCCAAACATATACATACGTTCTTACTGCTAGTGCCCTGAACATATATATACGTTTCATTTTTCATTCATTCAAAATTGGCGTGATAGGCCTGAGTCGCCTAGACATGAGAGAATGGGTGTGCTCACTCAGTGTGCGCCATACGAAAAAAATCGGGAATGCCTGGGTACAGCATGGAAGGTTACATTCAGCTCCATCTTGGGTCAACATCATGGCACATCCTCGTGATTCACTCATGCCTCGTCGTGTTAACACTACTATTAGAGGAAAGTGATAGAGAACATGAGTTTAGTGGATTTGACACCAATGGGGCCACTAATATTCAAGGAATTAGTGAAAATATTGATGATAACCCAGATGACCCTCAGCCTATCACCTCTGGGGTGGCCACACCAGACCCTGGGCCAAACACCTCTGGGGTAGCCAGTGTGGCCACAGCCGACCCTAGGCCAAGCACTTCTGGGGTGGCCAGTGTGGCCACACAAGACCCTGGGCCAAGCACCTCTGGAGTGGTGAGCGCTACTCATAGGCAACTTCGCAAGAGGAGACTATCATATTCCTGGTGTTTTAGTGATAGTGAAAGTGATGTAAGTGATGATGAGATTGATTTTATGCCATTCGAGGATTCGTCTAGTGATAGTAAATTTCATTATTCACCAGTGAAGCGTACTTTTAGGCATCGTTGTCTACTTTCAGTCAGTGTGCCATATGCAGTCCCCAAGGGTTGTGGCAGGTCACAATCCAAAACCCTGGCCACTGATAGTGATTATGAAGGTGAGTATGCAGGGATGGAGAAAGTAGTGGTGGGTGGCACAGTGCCTGGACCACGTGGTGTAGTGGGTGGACAGACAAAGGACTGCCCAGCACCCCCTCAACCATGTGCTGCCTCCACTCCTGTCTCTCCTCCTGCTCCCCTTCGCCCCATGCCACAGGTCCACCCTGCACAATGTGATCATGAGTGGAACTGGACACAAAGTATATTCGTGCCACAGCTTTGTGATTTTGATGCGAGTGGAAGTGGCATCCAGCCAGCATGTCCCCCTAACGAATGAGTCTACAGAGTTAGACTTTTTTTAGTTATACTTTGACAAACCTATAATGAACTTGATAGTGACCCAGACAAACAATTATTACCGATATGTCATGGACAACACAGCAGAGGTTGGAGAATTGTCATGGCTGTGCAGGTGGAAAGAGACAACAGTGGCTGAAATGTATTTATTCCTTGCCACTGTCATGCTTATGCCACATACCTATAAGAACAATATATGCAATTACTGGTCCACAGACCACTTCATCAGTACTCCAATCTTCCGTGGCCTTCCCTGTAACAGATTTACTCTGCTGCTACGAATGTTGCACTTCTCAGACTGGAATACGCCAAACAGAAATGACCTTCTATACAAAATCCGGGAAGTGTTTATGTATTTGAAGCAGAAATTCAGTGCATACTTTTATCCCTTCACGAACATTGTTATTGATGAGTCCTTGATTCTGTTCAAAGGATGCCTGTCACTCAAGCAATATATACCAAGCAAACGTAATTGCTTTGGTATAAAACTTTTTGTTACGTGTGACTGTGAGAGTGGTCTTGTGTTGGATGTCGTTGTATACACCAGGAGATACACACTCGATGATGACAGACGAATGTTGGGCATTTCCGGTGATGGTGTTCACAGGATGATGGAACCATACCTTGGCAAGGGACATACATTGTACACAGACAACTAGTATACAAGCCCTATGCTCGCTGATTTCCTACATGTGAACAATACTGATATATGTGGAACAGTGAGGAATAGAAAACATATGCCAAGGTTCAGTGGAGGTACTGTTGAAGGTGCAGTGCAAGTGTTTCATGCTAATGACATCATGGCACTGATGTGGCATGACAACCATCCACAGAAACAAGATGGTACAAACAGACAAAGTGAACAGGAAGACCAATGAACGCATTGTAAAGCCAGCTGCTGTCGTGGACTATACGAACAATATGTGACTAGTTGACAAATGTAACATGATGATAGGGTTCGTTGACTGTGTACATAGAAGTCGCAAGTGGTATATAAAACTTTTTTTCACCTTACAGACATTGCAGTGCTCAATGCATTCAATATATATGAAATAAAGACTGGAAAACAACAAGGTTTTGCAGAATTCTCCCTGAATGTTGTAAAACAGAGAGCAAGAAAGTATGGTACCACACCTGTATCTGCCCCTCAACAGTGTCTTGTCCCACAACCACAGCCAGTGGGGGAAGTGCCAGACCGAATCATCACTGTCACTATCTGGTACCAATACCACCTACCCCAAAGAAGAATTCCCAGAAAAAGTGTTATGTGTGCTACCACCATAAAACGACCTCAATAGCGGAATGACACACGATTCATGTGTCATAAGTGTGGGGTGGCACTCTGTATGAATCCATGCTTCATGGAGTATCATACAATTGTGGAATTCTAGAAACATAAGTGGGATATGTAAATACTTGTATACAGTTGTAGATAATAGAATGTGATTCAGCCAGGTGTGCAAAATCACCTGTCAGTGTGTACATGTGTGTTTATGACAATATGATAGTAATTTCATATATAATATTGGTGTATAAACAACAATTGGCATTGAACTCAAAAGATTTACTATAAAACATAATTATCATACCATGAAAACCAAGAAAACTAAAAAAAAAAAAAAAAGGAAAAGAAAACAGTAAATATGTAGAATTTCTGCAAGTGGCAGCACTTGGTGGCAGCACTTGGTGGCAGAACTTGGTGGCAGAACTTGGTGGCAGAACTTGGTGGCAGCACTTGGTGGCAGCACTTGGTGGCAGAACTTGGTGGCAGAACTTGGTGGCAGAACTTGGTGGCAGAACTTGGTGGCAGAACTTGGTGGCAGAACTTGGTGGCAGAACTTGGTGGCAGAACTTGGTGGCAGAACTTGGTGGCAGAACTTGGTGGCAGCACTTGGTGGCAGCACTTGGTGGCAGAACTTGGTGGCAGAACTTGGTGGCAGAACTTGGTGGCAGAACTTGGTGG